AAAAATCGGCCGATTTTATTTTTTAGCCGGAAATCATCGGTCGTTTCTTAGGCGCAGGGCCTCTTAATATACTTGAAATGATGCTGGAGCTGACAGCCGTAGCATTGCCAAATCTTTGTCAAAAAATAAATGACCAATAACGACCGAGTGTCGATATCCTGATCGATACTCGGTCGACCCTAGACCAAAACTCCATCGGCATCTCAATGGACACTTGATCGACTCTCGATCAACAATTGGCTGATAGCTGGCTGAGTGTCAACCACCAATATGAATTGATCGACATTCAGTGGCATGTCTGCAAATTAGTTGACTTTTTACCAACTGTCAATTGAGTGTTGACCAACGGATGCCTTTCAGTACACAACGATCCACAAAATGTACCAGACAGGTTCAGACAAATGGAATCCGAGGCCCAGTTCAGATGTCGTCCTTCTGCCGTGCCGAACTTAATTGCAATTTGGCAATCCTCCTCCTAACTCCCCGTGGGAATGTAATCCCGCCAAAATATATTAATATAATTTATGAATTTTGTTTGGCGCGTCAGAAGCACGATGTTTGAATCACTGCCGTGCCAGAGTCGTGTAGCACGGCAGACTTTGTCGAACTTAATTGCTTGCTGATCTTAATTCAAAGGTTTGATTCAGACGCCGTACTTCTGCCGTGCTTTTGTCGAACTTAATTCCTGAATTTAGTTTGAAACGGCTGATCATGAAGCACAACGTCTGAAATGGGCCTGACATATATCAAATCACATGTTCGTTCTGTCGACCGTCGTATACAATGCACCCTAGAAGTTTGAGGCTCGCAAACAGTTAAAAAAATGCCTTTCATGGAAAATATATTGTGCAGCACAAGTTAAAACCTTATTTTAATAAAATTCCCGGGGACGTCGTTAGCGCTGTTCTTCGCCAGTTCAACTTCACATGCGGTCGTTATCTGTCATTCGATCACCCAAGTCGAGCAAACAAGAGAAGTACGCACATGGACCGATCTGAACCGGCACTGCTGTAATCTTTGATTACTACTGGTTATTTATTTTTAAATTGTTCTATCAAGTAAGTCTACATACCTTATATCAATCCATAAACGATTACCAAACAGGAGCGCCACCCATATTCTAGCAGGATTTTCCGCCAAAAATGCAAAATGCTGCCCAAAAGAATTTGCTCGGTTACCAAGTCCCTGGTTTGTTTGCGCCCAGACCACGTGGCATTTCACGGTCAGCCCTCTTGAGGGAGGGGCCCAAGGAAAATATTATTGGCCGTTTTTATGCCGGAGACGTCAAAACTTCGAAGAAATTGATATAGAGCCGCCTGGTACAAAAACGGGAGCTATCCACATTTTCGATCGCTGGCGCCAAACCCCTCACGAGAACGGGTACTCCGGTACTTCCTGCACCTGTAATGGCTTATGCTATGCGGACGGGGAAGCTCTGCCCAAAAAGATAGCTTTTTTTAAGTTTCAGGTACTGATAGAGCAGGCGTGTCCCGATTGCGCTCGTAAAATGCTGGAAAGTTGCTTTCTGGAATGCCAAGAAGTTGCTAAAGAAATTGCCAAACATCCAAAAAGCTGCTACCTAAATTTCTTTACATTTTTATATAAACGTTAATTAAAAGCCTTATTTTTCGTTCTTCACAATACACCTTTTGCTGTTCATTTACAGAAAATAAACATTCATTTGTGTCCAGATTTCTTTCTTTATGGTCAATTAACTCTCATTAACACAAATATGACCTTCATT